AAAATATCTGAGTTTTTTTTCTCTGACAAGTTTCCACCTTACACAGGCTCTGGCTTTTATAGGTTTTACTGTACTTCTGAAGGATTACAGACATTGAAAACCCTACGGAGCCTAGTACCACTGTGACAGACATGGGGTCCCCATGAGTTGGAATTGACTTGACAGCAACTTGTTTGGTTTTTGGTTTGGGGGAGAATTAACCAAATATCTTCTAGCCAAAGTTTGTTCCTGCCTGTTTATCTCTATTTTGCTCTCTGTCCTATAAGTTAGGGGTTCCTTCTCCAGTTACCAGCTAGATTCTGCCAGCCTCACCCCCTCTAGCCAACTCTCATTTCCTGGCTGTGCCAGCCTGATTACTTCTAATTGTCTTTGACTGTTTCCAGCTGGGTCTTCTCACTGGAGTTCTGTGGGAGTACATAGACAGTCTCCCAGCCATATGGAGAGAGGAGAAGGGGGAAAAGAGAAGGAAGGAAGCAGCTGGGACAACAGTCAAAAGAGTTTTCCAGCCCACTGTGATTCAGAATTCTTTGTAAGGCCCTTCTTTTGATAAGATAAACAGTTATATCTGTTGACCCCAAAGGCAATCAACCTGTAACTGAAAACACCCTTAGAAAGCTGTTGGACATTTCCTCCCCCAAAATGGACAGAGTCTTGCTGTCAAGCACAATAAAACTGCACTTGAGTATCAGTAAATAATTACTTTCATTCATTTATTCAACAAATATTTATTGAACAGTTACAGTTTCAGGTACTGTGCTAGCTACTGTGGGGCAAAGAAAAATGAAATTAAATACAGCCCTGCTCTCAATGAATTTAAAAGAGGAAGACATTCATATAAATAATACAGGATGTAGGAATGTGAAGTGAGTGATATGTAATAAGAGAAAATGGAGGGGGATCAGCCTCTTGCCATTTGTTAATTGGAAAAGGATTTATGGGAAATGGAGCATCCCTAGTGGGAGGAAATGGGTCAGAGATAGCAGATAGGGCAAAGGTGCAAAGGTGTGGAAGCCCAATCCTGGCTGAAGAACAGCTAAAAGGTAGTGCCCAGAGAGACCCTACAGAAGTAGCATAAGGCTAGAAATTTAGTTTGGGATAATTAGGAGAGAATCTTCAATGCTGGACTACTACTATTCAGCCAGATGTTTTCTGCACATTTGTGGTGGAAGGAAGTGGTAGTTCAGTAGTAGAATTCTCCCTTTCCATGTCGGATACCTGGGTTTGATTCCCAGTCAATGTTCATGTGCAGCCACCACCATAGAGGCTTGTGAGTTGCTATGATGCCGACTGAATAGGTTTCAGTGGAGCTTCCATGCTAAGATGAACGAGGAAGAAAGGCTTAGTGACCTATTTCTGAAAATCAGCCAATGAAAATTCTGTGGATCATGATGGTTCAATTCACAACTGATCATGAGGATGGTGTAGGACCAGGCAGCTTTCTGTTCTGTTGGGTATGGATTAGGCAAGAGTTAAGGCTCACCATGAGTCAGAGCTGTCTCAATGGCAGCTAATAACAACAATATGAAGATAATACGTTGTTGTGAACAGCTTTGTCTTACATGAAGGAATTTTGGGGCTTTAAAACAAGGCTATTTCAGAGAATAAGAACCTATATAGTTCCAAAGTCAGTTACTAAGCACAGGCTGGCCCAGGATTTGGACTTCTCTTTGGCATCCGGCCCAGCTGATGGAATTAGCAGTGAACTTGAATCCAACCCAGGCAGCAGGCTTGAAAAAGATTTAATGGGCCTGGGTTTTCTCTCTTCTTCACCCCTTTCCTGACCTCCACCCTAAGAGGATAATTAAAAAGAAAATCTCTATTTCATTGTAAATGTCTTCTACCATTTCTGGGCCTGGAGCTAACCGCCCCCCTGCCCCCCACCGCAGGCCATAAAGACACTTTGATGAACAGTTACTGAAATTTTTCCTGCATCATAATAAAAGAATCTTTAAATTTTCATACAGAGCTAATGTCCTATAAATTATAAAAAGTAATACTATATTATATAACATTGAAGAAACCCCCAATCCTTTTCTAAAGAAAATTCATAATGATTTTGCCCCAAAGTGAGCCTATAATTCTCATTCATTAGACACCTGTTGAGCATCTACTCTGCACTGGCACTGTGCTAGTCACCTCCCTCTCCTACGTGGTTACCGTCCTCCTAAAATTTGATTACCCAGTTATTGGCATTAAAGCAATTGGATGGGCTTTGCAGAAATTGTGAGGGTGGGTGGGGGCATAGAAGTCCCTTAAGCACAGCAACAAAAACTTAAGTGTCTTTAATATGGGAAAATGAGAACAACATTAATGACAGAAAGCACAAGTAGTATGTTCACAGTCATAATAGCAAGGCTGGTGACTTATAACATTTAAGTAACTGATGTGCTGTCCAGTCAATTCCGACTTATAGAGACCTTATAGGACAGAGTAGAACTGCCCCATAGGGTTTCCAAAGGTGAAATCTTTATGGAAGCAGACTGTCACACCTTTTTCTTGCCCAGTGGGTGGTGGGTTCAAACCATCAAACTTTTGGTTAGCAGCCAAGTGCTTTAACTATTGTGCCACCAAATTTCTTTCAGTTGATTATAAAATAGCATATTTAAAGTTAGACCTAGGTGTTTCTCTAAGTCACTTTTTGGAGGGGTGGCAGAGTCTCTAAAATACTAATTGATGATAGTGGTGGTTTGCTTCCCGCCCTCCCCCCATCTTAAGCATAGGATGGATGCTCTACCTGTTTACTGTGGAGTAAACTTTGAAAGGCGCTTGCCTAGGATGGAATCTTCCTTTTCAACTCTAATGTGTGATCAGGCTTGCATTGACTGTTGGAGCCTCTTATCTGGCTGCTCAACAGGTAGCACTTTGCAAATCACCTCATATGCATGTGAAAGCTAAACAATGAATAAGCAAGGTGGAAGAATTGAAGCCTTTGAATTATGTTGTTGGTGAAGAATACTGAATATACCAAATTCTGCCAGAACAGGGAGTTCTGATGTCTCATCGATTAAAGGATTCTGCTGTTAACCAAAAAGTGGGCGGTTTGAGCCTACCAGCCACTCTGCCGGGAGAAAGAGGAGGAGGTCTGCTTCTGTGAAGATTTACAGCCTTGGAAACTCTACAGGGCAGTTCTACTCTGTCCTACAGCGTTGTTAGGAGTGGAATTGATATGATGACAGTGGGTTTTGGTTGGCCATAAGAATAAACAAATCTGCCTTGAAAGAAGTACAGCCGGAATGCTGCTCCTTAGAAGGGAGAATGGTGAGATTTGTCTCATGTATTTTGCACAAATTATCAGGAGGGACTAGATCCCAGAGAAGGGTATCATGCTTGGTAGAGGCTCAAGGGAAAAACAAGAAGACCCTCAAGGAGATGGATTGACACAATGGCTGCAACGATGGGCTCAAACAGCAATGATTATGAGGATGGCGCAGGATCGGGCAGTGTTTCCTTCTGTCGTACGTAGGGTTGCTATGAGTCGAACAGACTAGACGGCACCTAACAACAACACTAAGCCCCTGTCTACTCCCTTAGGAGATTTCTTATTAGAGTTTAAGAGGACGCTGTGATTTTTGGAGCGGGTCTGAGTCTTGAGGGCAGTTGCAATTGTTTGTGGCGATGGGCACAGTCACAGCACTCACAGAACAAAAGCGTTCAGGAGCCGCGAGCGCGAGTCCATCTCCGCCTGCAATCATGGGTATTATTCGAATGGAAAGCAAAGGTGTAAACGTACAAGCTGAGGCAGCAAACGCACTGCTTCCTACGTTGCTGCTGCTACTATTACTGTTGCTGATACTCCTCCTCCAACACAGCAATCCAGTCTGCGTGCGAGCCCGGGCAGACAGACACCCTACCACCTCCCCCATCCATCCATTCATCCATCCATCCATCCATCCATCCATGTCCAGAGGGCCCTACTATGTGCCAGGCCTTCGCTTAGGTATCAGGCACCCGATCCACAGTCCACGGGGGTGGTGACCGTCTCCTCCTTTCTCCCGGCCGGGGTGGGTGCGGCTGGCGGGGAATTTCACCGCCGAACGGTCCAGACAGCTCTAGCCCAGAATACGGGCGAGACACGCTGCCGAAAGCCGTCTGACTGGGGTGACTCTGGAGCGTGTGTCTCCGAGGCTGCGCGGGGTCCCCCAGTCTGGCGCTCCGGCGGCTCCCCCGCCCACTCCACCGCTCCGCAGGCCCTACCCCCTCCAACACGGGTCGAGTTTGGCTGTGGCGCGCGGGGAAGGAGGGGCTACGAGGGATTTGAAAGTGCACAGGCTGCGGAGTGCAGCTCGCATCTGTTCCCGCCGCCCGCGACCGGATTAAATTTCTGCAAATTCAAACTGAATGGGGCTTTCTTCTGCTGCCTTCCAGAGGGCGCCTGCAGCCCGCCGCACGCTCCTTTCGGGCGGGAGCGGCCGCTGGGCGCAAGGCTAGAAGCAAGCAAGCCAGCCCCGAGCCGGTGGTGCCAGACAGCGGCGGCGAGGGCGGCGGCTCCGAGGCGCCGAGACCCGGGACCTAGGCACCCGAACGCCTTCCGCCGCCACTGCCCCGCCAGCGCCGCTCCTTGCGCCCGGAGCGAGTGACTGTCATTTCTCTGCCTGGACGGGACCTGGGGCGGGGTCTTGCTGTCCTGAAAGGGGTCCAGACGACCCTCTGAAGAAGCACTTCTGGGGAGCGAGTCCCTGTATCCCCGCCGACCGGCTCCGGGGCGGCCGCTATTGTCTGCGCGGCGCTGGGCGGCGCGGG